CACACACACCTTGACTAATGAGGTACAGGCACACTTTCTTAAGCAATTAAAAAGAATTAAACATCAGGGAAGATGGACTTGTTATCATTATTGTATTTCTGTGGGGGAAAAAAAATGTACATCCATAGTTTTACCTCTCCTTCTTCATTTATTTATATGTGTCATGGTTTGAATGAAATCTGATGTAAAGAGAATCTGTCCCCTTGAGATATGTCATTCTGTCCCCATCTATAATGTACAAACTGGTAAAAGCAGGTTGGTGTTCCAACAGTTAGAAAAACCAGATATATTCAGGAATTCGTGCTGCAGGCACCATCTATCTTTAGTATCTTAATGCTTTCAAGTGATGAAATACCTTCTGCACCATTATAAAAAGGCTGGGCTTCTGTTTGCTATTTCACATGGTCAGTGCTTGAACTATGGATAATATTTAACCTTGAGCTCATGATCAGCTTGAGAAATACAATTTATAGGATCAAATTCCTTTAGCCCTCAGACCCCTGCTCTGTATTTCTAGGGATGGGGCACAGGAGCTTTGCTCTGTCCAGGAAAACCTTTTACAGCACTGTAAGGGAACAGTAGGGGATACAAAAGGCAGCTGCTTTAGGCACAGAGAGGAAACAAAACACTCTGTTCTGTGAAACAGGATTGGGTCTACCCACGTGGTTTTCAGTGAGATGATGAAGATTCCCTTGTGGGCAAAAAAGGGTAAACTTTGAGCCACAGTGTTGAGAAAAGAGCTCTGATGATTCAGCATGAGCAGAACCATGATGTGGAGTCCAGAGCATGCATTGAGACAAATGCTCCATCGCTTACTGGAGACCCCTCTGAAAGGAGCACAGGAAAGATAATGATGGGTGCAGTGACATGGAGATTTAATAATGGACATTAATGAACACCATCAATGTGAATTCTTTTTTATCTGCTAGGGGCAGGGCTTTTTTATGTGCTAGGGACCCAGCCTGGGCAAGCAGATACCTGGGGTCCTCAGTGTATAAAGCTCCATCATGGGTGGCTGCTCTGTGCTGCCACTGGGCCTTTTGCTTTTTCTCTCCAACATCTTTGAGCATAATGGCCAGCTGCAATGACATGATTCAAGGATCCAGTTGTCTCCCCTTTGCCACCCAGCTCAGGGATGGAGGGAATGACACAGGTTTGAGGCGAGTGGATTCCTGCAAAGTCTACCATGTGCTGTGGTCTCCTCAAGAATCATGAGAATGATTAAGTGATTTTTAAAGAGCCTCCTGCTGTTTTTCATTCCTCCCCTTTGGAATTCAGCAAGTTAATAACTTTAACTTGTTTCTAGCCACAAACATAGAAAACACAGCAAGAGCACAGAAGCTTGTACACATTGGACCAAAGGCTTCTCTGTTGGGGGATCCTTCTTCAGCAGTCAAAAAATTATCATAAGCATATGGGGTAAAATTAATTCCATCCTCTGCCTATGTGGAGGTGCATGTTCTGAACAGAACCCCAAGGCCAGTTCAAGGCAAAAACAGAATCAGACATTGGAAAATCATGGTGACTTTTCAGAAGTTTAGCAGACCCATCTGCTTCATCCACTGCAGCCAGGAATTATTTATTCAAAATGTTTAATACAGCAAAAGTGAGGCTAAATATTTAAACGTGTTACACACACACACATATGTATATATTTGCAATTGATATTAGTTTCCCACCTCTATTTAATATTTGCTGCAAAGAACACTCTTTAAGTGAGTGTTGCCTTTCTCCTTAGATGGCAAAAGCACATGCAAATTCATGTCTCCTTAATCTTTTAATCAGCAAGTACCAGTTTGCAAAAGATGCTTCCTTCTCTTCCATATCTTCTTTGGGAACAAGTAGAGCACAGCCTCCCTGAGACTTCCCATCTTCTGCACAGCTTCAGCTGAGGAGCACAGGGGTTATTTGCAACCACCTCTTCCATCTGCATTTCATTGCACAGCTCTCAAAAGCAGGTTCTGGGAAGTTTGGAAATTCCACATGAAAATTTCACATGCTTGATGAGAGTGTGAGGAATGATCCCTTGTTTTGCCCCAAAGCACACAACATCTCTGGGCTCCCGTTTTCAAACCGTGGCTCCAACACCACTGTAACACTTTGCAGCACTGCCCTCAGCCCCTGCTTACCACGCTCAGCACGTCAATCCCTGGGAGGCTGCAGCTCTGGTTTCTCTGTCAGGAGCCCTGATTTGCCAGGAACTCAGCCAGGCTGCAAAGGGCAGGCTCTTTTCCCCTCCACACTTGCTCCCCTCTTCTCTCATGCCCTGAGTCCTGGCCAGGGAAGGACTGAGCAGAACACTGCTTTAGATAAGGGTGTCTATCTGCAGGCCAAGTGTGGCAAGGACAAATTTCCTGCCTTGCACCAGTTCCAAAGGGAAAACATCCTTTATGCTTCTCTGCCTCTCAAAAGGCACAACAGCCTCAGAGCCTTTCTGCTTTTAAATTACCTTTGAACTAAACTCTGAACTGAGCTGGGACTCCTGTTAGCCTGCTTCAGCTCAGCAAGCACTTTGTCTCATCAGGGTGAGATCTGTGTGCACACCACTGCTACAGGAGGAGCTCTTGTCTTTGGCTTCCAGCCTGGGGCAGGTGCAGAGGAGGGCACAGAAACCACATGGTCACTCTTAAAGGAACTACTTCCACACTTTATTTCTCTGAAAATGGGGAATGTGTGTCAGATGCTCAGATCACCCCAGGATTTACTGACAGACAGTTCTGGGTACAGAGACATAACTGGTGTCTAAATATGAGGTTTCCATCTGGAGAGGGTATTCCACAGGATTTTCAGAGTATTCCAGAGAGTCCACTCAGCAGCTAGATTCAGCTAGCAATAATACTACTGAGCTTTGATGTCACCTAACAGGATTCTACATAACAGGCAAGGTAAACTGTGTTTCCATTTCCAGAATGAAAGCCAGACATGTCTTCCTAGAGCTGTTCTGAGACTCAGTCCAAAACTACTGACTTAGAATACACACAGAATTACACCCAAAGAAGGCACTGGCTCAGGTATGAAAAGCTCTGGAGATGTGGGGATCATTACCTTGCCTGTCCAGAGACAGCACCATACTAACATGATTATGCCATTTCTCTTCCAGGGAGCACTTGGCTATGAATTTCACAGGCTGCCACCTGCATTCCACCCTGTGTACAAGCACCATGTGCCCAGGGCTGTCAGCAGCAGCACTGCACCAAGAGAAGAGAAGACACAGCTTGGCTTCAAAAGGTCACGAGAACTGCCTTGGCTCTGCAGCAAAAGAAGTGTTGGGTGGGAGAAAAAACTTTCTGCTTTAAGCACTCCTGCAATTAAATCCTCCTGCAAAATACAGGGTTTCTTCTAGTAAGTGGAGACTCAAGGGGTTCTGAATTTAAATTTACTTCCTGAGCAAAAATAAATTCAAACTATCTAACTCCAATTTTTCTTCATGCCATCCTGCAATTATAAGGAACTTCATCAAAACTACCAAGTATAGAGTAAGGGGTTCTTAAAGAAACTCACAAAATCATTGCTGTACCTTTATTTCAAATAAGAGTGAGTTGGATTTTCTATTTCATCAAATTAGAATATATTAATACATTTAGCCCAAATGCAAGGTCTTATTTTTGTATTAAAAATAGCATCTTTTCTCTGTGTATTTTCTGCCTAATTAATGAACAGACATTAATTAATGCATAAGCACCATCAATTTGTCAAATCAGAAACAAAGCACACAAATACTATAATGCATCTTGCCCTTTTATTGTGTTGTATTATAGACAAAGAGAAGTACAGATCACTCTGTTACAACCATAAAGTTGCAGTGTCACTCTGATCCCTTTGGGAGTCAGACAACATCCACTTGTCATTCATTCCACCTTTATATTGTAACAAGCAGCATATATCAAAACTCAACTGTGAGCAACCATTTTTCTAAATGAAAACATGAACAAAAAACCCCAATTCTTGTAACAGGAATTTGCAATATTCTTTAGAGTACCAGCAGAATAAGCATGCACAATATCAATACCAAACCATAGATATGCTGCCCCCTGAAAAGGGGAGCTGTGCTGGAAAATTCACAGGTTCAGTGCTGGGGCTCCATCTCCTGCAAAAACCTGGCTCAAAAGCTGTGCATTACTTTGGTCCAAATATAAGTGGGAGTGAAGGAGCCAAAGGCTGGTATTTTGCAAGGAAGCTGTGTTAATCCTACTGTTTTCTTTGTACAATAAAATTTGGTCTATGAGGAAAACCTCTGCTGCTCTGTTGACGGTGCCACAGCGCAGCGTGATGCTACCAGAAGGGAGCTGCTGCTGTGTCATGCTGCTTCTCTTGTACACAAAACAGGTCCCAAGGACCTCTAAAGGGGTTTGCTGGAATGCTGCAGAGGACAAAACAGACTTCTCATTTGAAATGCAGGTGCAAGGAAGGTTTTCCTTGCTGAGAACCACACGCCTTTCTAACAACTTTGACAAAATATGTGGCACCATGCTCCTTTGTGTTACTGAGTAGGACTGCACATGGAATAATAACTTGGCAGTGAGTCAAATTCCCTATTTCCCTGTGTTTGATGTTGTAGACAAAATGGGAAAGAAGCAGTTTGGAAACACACAGGTAGCTTCCATCCTAACTTACTGAGCAGGCTGAGAGCAAAATATCAAAAACACCAGCCTCTTATGGAAAGACAGACATATTGGAAAGAATTAGTAAAATGACTTTGAAAATTACTTTTTTGTTGATCCTGTTCCAATATTCTTGTTTGTATAAAACATTTGGAGCCTAATTTTTGAGTATATAGATGCTTGAGCTGATACACAAATCTCTACTTTGGGGATGATGTTTTAAGCCCAATGAAAAATGTATTGTTATCAACAGGAACTTCTCACTGGGGCCATTTTCTGTTCTGCTTCCCAAAATAAAGGAAAAAAAAGCAAAAAAATAAGAAAGGATTTGTTATTCTCTTTTAAAGAGTAACAAGGCACAGTCTTATTCTCAAAAAAAGGAAAAAATGCAAAAAAAAAAAAAAAGAGAAAGGATTTGTTATTCTCTTTTGAAGTGTAACAAGGCACAATCTTATTGTCTATTACTACTACTACTACACTGCTTACATTGGTTTGCTCTCTCTTGTCTCTGCAGCAGAAATACAAATAACGTCAGCACTGTAACCCACCCTGACAGAGTGCAGAGTCCATGCAAAAGTTAAGGACCATTTTGGCAGAATTTAAGTATTTATTAAGTATTATTATCCCAAAATACAGTTTACAAGAGACTCCTGGGCAGACAGGCTTTGTGTAGGCTCTCTGCCAAAACTCTCTGTAGAGGCCACTTTGAGTGGTTCAATCCAGCATGTGATTTGCTTAATGAAAGACACTTCTGCAGAAGATTTTGGCAGATACAATCAGTTCAACTGCCAGGCAGTATTCATGTGATTACAAATGTTACTGATCACATTAGATACTTAATAAATCTCTCCAAAATGATCACAGCTACTGTGTGGCTCTGAAGAAATCAAAATTGTGAGACAGATTACTGTGTTTGCTGTGCACTGGACTATTGATACAACTGGGGAACAAATCCTTTCCTTGGACTGCCAAGCAGTCAGTGATAACTATTAATTTCTAGATAATGCAAAGTCTGCTTGTTTGTAAATGTTTATCTATGCATCATGGCAAAGTAGTTTGCTTTTCATGTTATTCTTCTATAAATACATTGAAAAATTTGACTACACTGACTTTCACAGCTCTATGGCAATTCACATAAGCCAAGAGGTTGGCCTGGGACTCCAAGGACAATTTTTGTCTTGAAATACCAAAAAAGCAGGATGCTGTCCTTGCATAAAACCCATAAGCAAGACTTTGGCACTGTTTCTTCTCTTGACATTTCAGCAGATGCAACATCACATAGACTTATGACAAACCACAACAAAGCAAAAATAATCTGAGCTGTACCTGTTTTGATAAAAATGCTTTTCCTTATGGTGGGGCACAACTTGAACTCTGTATCTTCCTGTAATTTACTGAACAGTATTTTTAAAATGAATGTATGTCCATTGGCCAAATCCCAGTGCTCATCTCAGTGTATTGCATGAAAGCAATCACACAGGCCTCTCTTTTCTGCTCTCAGGAGGAGGGTTTCTGTCTGGAAAAAAAATAAAACCCAAACAAAAATCCATTAAATCAAAGAACTGAATATATTGCTTTAAAAGAGCATATAATTAATTAGATCTAATCCCTCTGCACAGCTGTAGCCAAGGTGCTCTGCTGAGTGAAAAATCATAGTTCTTAGTGCTGGTTTTCATCCAGAGAAAGTGAAACGAGTATATTCAGAACCGAGATGCAGGGAGAGCATTTTTATGTTTGAATATGTTAATTTTCACAGTTAACTTCTAGGGAGGAGGCTGTCAAAATTATTAAAGTGTCCTTTATAAGCACTGCCACAGATTCCACTTTCAACTGCACTGCTCTTAATTCCTCCATGGTGATTGATGGCTTCCTGTTGATGATGCCTTCAGTCCTGTATAGTTTAATTGTACCAGACAGCAAGTGCTGAGGAGCCAGCTGTGCTCTCAGTTACACTGCTGTTTCTCTAGAACAACTCTGAGTTGAATCCAGTTGTCAGTCTAACCCTGTTGTCTGAAACTCATAATCTTCCAAGGCAGATCTAGGTCTGAGTGTGTGGTTCCTATTTCAATCTGAGTTAAATTACTGGCAGTTGTTTTATTATCAGTACTTGAGCAAAAGCTTAAAAACTATTCCCAATATACATAATTTAAAATTACTTGCTGTTGTATTTGGAGCTCCTTAGTAGAAAAGCGTTTTCAAGCTTTTTTTCTCTGTATACAGGGGAAAAAATTAATTTTAGATCTTTAAAGATATTCAAACATCATTTATTTAACTGTGATCAAATAACTTAAATATTTTGTGGATTCTTGTCATACTTTTGGAGAAACAAAGGCTGAATCTTTTGCATGGCACCATCATTTCAGAAGCCAATTTCTCATGACACTCGAGATTGTTGGTGCAAGGAATTCACATCAGCAAGTGCAGTTGTGACTGAAGAGAAACTTCTTCCTCAGCAAATCTTGTGGTTTTCACCCTGTGGTCTGCGGTCCCTCAAGCAGTTTGCAGACTGGCTTTGAAGAGTTTCTCGAGGGGAGAAAAAATTAATTTAGTGGGCTTAAATTCACTGTGGATGAGTTTCCCATCTACACTGCAAAAACCCATTAGAGGTTGAAACCCGCTTGCTAAGAAATTATCTCAGAGCTCTGTGAAACAACAAGGTCTTCAGCTTGCTGCTGTTCCTCTGTCCTGACACCTCCTGACACAGCAGACACACAGCAAAGGGCTCATTAACCAAGGCACTTTCCAAAGGAGAAGCTGGGCATTCTGTGTGGGTCCTGTCCCCTCCTGCCTGGCCTGGGCAGCAGTGCCTCAGTCCCCCAGCAGCGCCCACTCTCTGTTATTCACTTCTTCTTCTCAGACTGCAAGATTCTTCAGGACAGGCTGTTTCAGAACAGCTTTCCCTCTCCTCCCCAGCCCTATATCCTCCTCAGCTCAAACTTTTGACATCCACCTTTGCGTTAAAGAGGGTTTGTTCACATTCCTTGCCTGCTTTCACTTATCAGCTTAGCGCAACAGCAGGCGCTGTTCAACGCTGCTCCCTGCTTGCACAATGAAATCCTGGATGAGTGAATGCTCCCATTGTGGGGAGCCCAGGAGAAATCATAGAATCATCTTAACATCAAACAGGCTTATTGGATTTCACAGTAATGCCAACAAGCTGTCACTGCTACCACAAACTCTGCCTGGGCGTCACTCTGGACTATTTACGGGCAGGAAGAGCAGCTCTGGGAGCACTCAGTTGCAAACTGAAAGACTGTGAAAGAGAGGTATCAATTACAAAAATTAATTATGGCCTTGATGGCATTGGCTTAGAAAGTCCCTGATATGCAGGAGCAATCCTGCATGGGCCTTGCCCTTGTAGCAACAATTTCCAAGACTGGAGTTACTCAGTGAAGTTATTTGTGTGTCAAACTTGAGACATTATAGCTGGTCAGCATGAGCCAAGCATCAGCAGTGGTGTAAGGATATGGAAGCTCTACCTGTCAGAGTAGAGAAGGCCACAGGGGGCCTTTGTAGGGCCTTGGTTGCTGTATTTCACTTTAGTATCTCTGCATCACTCAATAATTTGTGTTTAACCAAAGCACCTCTGATAGGAAGCCCTTTGGAGTATCAATCCAAAGGCTGGGAAAGGTGTACAGTAATACAGCCTTTATTTACCAGTAGGGTTAAGCTCAGTTGTCTAAGGGTGGGTGATCTTACAAACAACTGGTTCTGTTTGGTTTTGTGATGCACTTGATCTGCACTATGCCACTTGATCTGTAACACTGGGAGCTGTCTCAATCAGTGCCTTGGCATGTCAGGCCTGTGCAGGTCCTCACAGAAACAGAAATTCATCTTGTGGCACCCTAGCACAGCTCCTCCCTTTATATTCTGCCTCAGCTCTCCCAAGACAGCACTGCTCTCTGGTGGGCTGCACCCTCAGTCCACTCTCCAGATAGAGCAGACATCACAGACACATCTGAAACCCTCTGCGGGTGGGATTAAGGAATTGTGCTGCCTCCATTGCATTAAAAAAAATCTTTAACTTCCCAGTAAAGCCTGTTGACAGCATAAGAACCAGCACAGCTGCAATTGCACCTGGTCTTGATGTGTCATGTGTAAGTACAAAACATTTCAGCTGACCCTAATCCAAACAAGTGGAACTCTGCTATGCACCAGAAGAGCCCAGCACAGCTGCTGGAGGTAAAGCCCCTCTATTGACACTTTACCACTTAAGAGTTATTTATTATTACTCAAGTGCATGGGAAACTTTTGGAATGTAACCCACACTCATAACTTTGTCCTAATCAGTTTGCTATTGATAGCTCAAGAAAGCTGAAGTCACTCCAACTTTATTGTGTAGGGCCTGACACAGCTGCCCAAGGTCACAAGAAACCAAAAGGCAAAGCTATAGAAATGCCTTACGGTTTGAGACACATAATTGACTTATGTCCCTTTGATTGGCATTGCTGGGAATGACAATTTGAGCTGAGTGTGACTATAGAGGAGCAGGGAACCCTCTCACCTGCCAAGAGGGATGGCCCTGCTCAGAGGAAGGAGAGGTGGGGCAAGACATGCACAGAGGGGCTTTATTAGAGGAGAGAGACCTCCTCCCCCTTGCAAACTTCAGAAGCAGAACCACTGTGGAAATCCTACCCCAGCCAGTTTGCACATATTAACAAACCCACATGTGTCTGAATTAATAAAATTGGGACATTTAACACAGCCTCATTTTGCTCACTGACACCTCTGGGGACTGCCATGTGAAGTGGCAGAATCCCCTGTGCGCTGTGATAAATGCATGAGAAAATGTGCTTCTCCTTTTCCACAAAGCATCAGTCCATGAGCAAAGGGGGTGTGTGTGTGCTTCCCTCTCCTCTGCCAGCCCTGCCTGCCACCTTCTCTCTCTCCTGCTCATTTCTGCTCCTGCCCAGGGAATAGTCAGTCCACAGCTTGGAAGCAATGGTGTGAGGCAGAGAGTAAATTATCTGTCTTGTTTCCCTCTCCTTTGTACATCTTCTTTCCCTCTCCCTTTGGTGCAGGGACTGTCTGAGGTAATTCCTTAGGCTGTTATGCAAGAAGTCAGCCTAGATGATCATTACTGAACCTCTGCAGCCTGTGAAAAACGATCTGTGCTCGCTATAAACCCCTTTGCAGGGATGGCAGTGAGTCAGCAGAGATGTCTCGTCTGCTGCAGCCAGACGGGCAGAGCTGGGGCCGGGCGAGGGAGGCTGAGGGAGAGCATTCCTGCAGGACACCTACCCGCGCGTCCAGGCCGAACGCCGTCTGCTTCAGGTCCTGCAAGGCCCGCTGCATGAACTCGAACGCGTGGCAGTCAACGCAGGGACGGCCTGCGGAGAGAGGCAGCAGGGGACATCGCTGTCACAGCAGGAAAGCCGGAATTTGGCAGCACAGAGGAGGAATACTTGCCAGGAGAAACTCCAGCTCTTACCAGGCACCCGCACCTGCGTGCACGCAGAATCAGGGCTGCCCGTGTCTATCTTTGTGCAAGTGAGAGAGGATCGGCAAAAACCACAGAGTATTTTACTGGGTGGGCTTTTCTAACCATGACCCAGACTGATTCTGCCTGCTGCTTCAGCCCCCAGCCTCTCCCCTTCAAAATGAAATCCTTACCCTTTCTCAGACATGGGTTAATTCTCAACAGATACACTGAAAACAGCAGTTTGCAGTGGTTCAGGAACCAGACAGGCAGGTCTGTTTTTACAGGAGCTCTTACAGAGCAGCTTGGCAAGGGACAATGCCAGATCTGTATTTGGTTCCTTTCACCTGCTGCTGTATTTTTTCTCTGCCAGGAATGCAAAGCATCCCACTGGCTCTGCAGCTGCTGCCAGCGTGTGTGCACAGAGGGGCAGGGCAGGGAAAAGGCAGAGAGTGGAGGAGGAGGGGACTTGACAGCTAAAATGGCTCACTTCTGAACCTGGGCATTTCTGCTCTGCCAGGATTCACCCTGACCAATCTCTGACAGTTTGAAGTGAATGATGTGTGAGTTTTCAGAAGAAGAAATTGCAGACACTGGAGGAGATGCAGGGGGAATGGGGAAAGATGACATTTCATCCTGATCACAGAGGCCCCATGATGGGGGGCGTGCCAAAATCCTTGTCCTCATGCAGCCACCTGTGCTGCTCTAGCAAAGCAAAGAGGTGCCAAGCTGCTGCTGAGATGGCAGGGGAGCTGTCTGGAGCCAGGGACCTGCTGAGCAGCCCTGCAGCACCCATCTGTGCCTGGCACCCTGCTGCCAGCACTGCCTCTGACTTGTGCAGGGAGGAAGACAGCAGCCAGAGTGCTTGCCAGGCCTCAGCAAGCCTCTGAGGGGTTTTGATCTACTCAGGAGGAGTTTCTCTCCCACCTGTCCTTCTACATCTCCCCTCAGTGCAAGTGGCATCTCAGGGAGACCTGGGGATCAAGCTAGGGATTTAATTCCCAAGCTGTGAGGAGGTGCAAAGTCCCCACCTCTATCAGAACAGCCGTGCTCACAAAGACTCTGCCTCTCCAAGCACAGAAGTAGTGACAGGATGGTTTTGAGCACACTTTAAAGACACTCAACCTCCTCCTGCTTGCAGTATTGCAAGTAATTTAGTTGTTTCACTTCAGAGCATGAAACAGAGCCCTTAGAAAGAACCTGCATGCTCAGACTGCTGTCAGCAAATCCATCATTCTCTCGGTGTCATGCCCTGCTCCCTCCCCTCGCTCTGGGCTGCTCAGAAACACCTTGCCCTGGCTGCACCTCGGGGAGGTGCTGCATGCCCTGAAGTGCTGACAAACACCAAAGTGTTCTCAAAAGCAGAACCTGAAGGAGAAAAAAAAAACAAAACCCAGGTGATAAATTAACGTATCCTGCTTCTGCAGTGGGGAGAAAGCACTTTTAAGCAGAGCCATGCATTCCATAATCTGTCACTGCTTGTCACACAGGAAGTCTTCCCAGGGCTTTGTGAAAGCTGTGATGGGATGGTTGGGTGGGATCACTCACTGGTATTTATGACAGCCAAGTGCTTCTGTGTGGACAGGGAGGCACTCGTGGAATGGCACAACCATGTCAAGTGGTTATTTCACTTCTGCCAGTCCTGGGAAAGCAGCTGCCCTGGTATCAAAGCATTTTCTGCAGGAAAAGGCTGGTGGCACAGAGGACATCTGCCTGTGCAGCTCTGGATGTCCTGAATCAGCACCTGCAAAGCTCCTAACACAGCACTGCCCTCCAAAGTCAGAGAGCACACACAGCCAGTTTCACCACAGAACAGGACATTCACTCTTTAATGTTGTTTTTGGGCTGTGCTCCATGGTGGAGGATCCTTCTCCAGGCACTGCTGTCTGTGGGTCAGGCCAGCATCCCTGCCTGCTGGGAGCCAGTAGCCAACGGCAGATACTCATGGAAGATACAAGAGTCAGTGTCTAGCAATGTTCTTCCAGCCTACCAGGAGGCTGGAGGATATCCTGTGTCTGGCTGGTGTTTCTACATCTGATAAGCCCTCCATGAATTTTTCTCACATTAATTTGCACTGTTGCTTCCTGAATCCACATAAACTTTTGTCATCTGCAGCATCCTGTGGCAATGAGTTCCACAGCTCAGCTATTCACTGAGTGAACAAAATACCATTCCTGTCTGCTCTGAAGTTGACATCTGCTGCTTTCATTTCCTGCCTCTAATTTTTGCAGTGGAAGAGACAGTTATTAAATAATCAGCAACTTTGTCCCACTTATGACTTTGATGTTCTCCATCATCTCTGCCTTGGTCTGCTTTCCAGAATGAAGAGCTGAGCTGCTAAGCTGAACTTTCTCTGTGGATTTGACCTCTCTTCATGCCCATAATATTTTCAACAAGGATATTTTCCCAGCAGAAATATGTCTAAGCATCTGTTTTACCAAACAAATCTAAATATGTGCTGTTGCCGGTAGAAGCAATCCCTCTGTGCTTTCTGTCCTTGGCTATGGCATCTCACACTTCCACCTGCTCACAGCAGGAGGGACAATGCAGCTCCTCCATCAGCTGGAGCACTGACCTTTCTGCCCCCAGAGCAGATCCTGAATGCCCAGGTTCTGGGGCCAGGACAAGAAACAGTGTGAGCAGGGGAGGCCAGGTTATGGAGAGGAGAAGGGCAGAGGCAGCACAGGCTTACATCAGCTTAAAGCAGTCATGAAACCAAATCTTAAATCACATCATAGCAAAATATAGCAGAGTGCCATTAATTCCTTGCTGACAGCTGGAAACAGACTATCATTCATAGGGAGACTTAACAGGTCTGTGGATTAACATAATGAGAATTATCAAGAGCCAGCCATAACTCTTTAAATGGATCCTGTCAGCACAAAGACTGTATGTGTCTTTGTGTGTTTTGGGAGAAGTGGGGGAAGAGAAAAAATATATTTCTTGGCTTCTTGGTGAAGACCTGAGACTGAAAGCAGTGTGTAAGTATAATTTACTTTCCCTTGCATACACTTTGTGTTTATTCTTTGTATTTCATGCACCTTGGCTAATGAAAACAGACTGACCAGCTTCTGGTCTTCAGATTCCATATTTTAGCTTTCACAGTGGGTGATCTGGGCTATAAATGCAGTGGGAGGTTGGGGAAATAACTTATTTTTTATAGTGGTTTGCAGAGAACTTTAAATAAAATAATCTGCGAGTATTAGTAGCACCACTTCAAACTTGAATAGTCTTTTGCATATGCTAAATGCTGTGAATAAAGTATAAGGACACAATTAATCATTGCTAATTAGAATTATGCATAAAGAGCTGTGCCTGGCTGTGTGACTGGCAGAGAGCAGGGGCTGGTGCTCCAAGCCAGATCCCAGTGCCTCACACAGGACAGGATCTCTCTGCACTGCTGAAGAGAACTGTGACTCACTCTCATGCTCCTCTCCTGTGACTCCTGCACCTCCCACACTTGTACGGAGCACTGCTGCCCCTGTCCTGCTCATGGTGCTGCAGGAGGGACACATTCCTCCCACCAGGTGGGAAAGAGACTGTGGGGTCCATGCAGCAATGCTCCTGCTAAGGGCGTGCTGCCAGCGACACGTCACACACCTGGGAACAGAGAAAAGCATCGGGCACTGTCGCTATAGGACACAAATTAAAACAATGCAGACACTGGAATCTCTAAGGTAAAAAGAAGGATGATTAATTTCTGACTCTAACATTTATAGATTTTCAAAAGTGACATGGATTGGAGGATGACAGTGTCACCTCTCCAATGACGCTGGACAAACCAAGTCTATCAAATTTCTCCTCCTTCAGAAAAGAATGTAAACCAATTAAATTTTTACATAAAGTGTGTGAGGAAGTTCATTACAAGAATGTAAACACCAGAAGGCTTAGAAGAACTTAGAAGAACAGGGTGACAGAGCACCACACTGCTCTGCCTTGCAGAAGGACACTAAATATGCTCCATGTCCATCTTACATCCTTGTTAAGAACATGCACTGGAGACCCCTCTGGGCCATCCAGGGTCTCTCAGCCAGCAGTTTGCCTGGGCTGACAGTAAGGCCATAAGTGCAGCAATAGGGAAAGTGTGTGCTGCAGAGGCAGTGCCCTGTGAAAGGGTCAGTGTCCATGAGGACCAGCTCCTGATGAGATGTAGCCAGTGGAGCATCAAGAGGGAAAGGATCCAGGAGTGTCTGTACTAGATCACACCAAAGTGAGTGCTCCACCCAGTGCCCAGTCTCCCACAATCTGCATCTCTTGAGGAATATTGAAAGTCTGGGAGCATTCCCAAGCATTGAGAGCATGGGATAGCTCCACTCTGAAACAGTCAGCTCTGTCTTCCAGAGAACTGGCCTCCTCTCATGGATACCAGTGTGCCAGGGTCCATCCTGGCAGGGTACTGGTACAGTCATGTCTCCATGCCACGGTGCATCCCTGGGCACTGCTACACCTTCATGGCCAGCAATGGGTGCCTAGAAATAGCATGAGAACAGGGCAAGTCTGGAGGGATGCACTCCCAGAGACCCTCCCAGGTCTCAGGAATATGCTAAGGCAGCCCCTCAGTCAGAAGAAATGCCACTGTATCTAACAGCCCTTTCTAGGATTTTTTTCCCTTGAATTTAACCAACTGGTTCTGCAATCTCATGCAAACATTTGGCATCCACCATGTCCTAAGGGAAGAGTTTCACAGGTTAACCACCAGGAAGAGTCCTGACAGGCAAAGGAAAGTGTCTGGAGCACTCAGCAGCTATGCAGCACTCTCCCAACAAGTGGCTGACAAGGATCATCAGGAGTTCCTTGTGGCTTTAAAACTCTGTCCCTGCAGCAGCTCAAAACAATTTACAATTCACTGCTATGCAGCACTCTCCCAACAAGTGGCTGACAAGGATCATCAGGGTTCCTTGTGGCTTTAAAACTCTGCCCCTGCAGCAGCCCAAAATAACTTACAATTCACTCATCAGCTGGCAGCGTTGCTCCTGGCCTGGTCTCAGACAGAAATAGCATTATGCTTTTGTAGCAGTGCTCACAGCCTCTGCTCCTTGGGATGGGGCAGGGTCTCTGGGGTAACACTGCCACAGAAACACTCTGACCTGCCCTTCATTCCACACTCTTACACCCAGGAGTAAGACAAGACAGGAATCTTCCTCAAAGGCTGTTCAAGGGACTCCACAAGGGACTGTGGAGGCTGTTCAAGGGACTCTAGCAATCCTGGCTAGAGGATGGTAATAAGATGGTAAAAGGACTCCTTGTCACTGTAAGAAGGATGGGACAGACTTTTTTGTGGGGCCAGTTGTGATAGGTCAGGGGGTAATGGTTCTGAAATAAAAGAGGGTCAAATTAAAATAGTTAAGGAAGAAGTTTTTACTGTGAGAGTGGTGAGGCACTGGCATGGGTTGCCCAGAGAGGTTATACATGCCCCATCCCAGGAAATGTTCAAGGTCAGGTTGGCCCTGAGCAACCTGATCAAGTTAAAGATGTCCCTGCCCCTTGGCAGGGGGTTGGACTAGATGAGCTCTAAAGGGCCCTTCCCACCTTTCTATGGTTTTATAATTCTGTGAGACTTGGGTCAGAAACCCTGGCCAAGAGTTTTCTACAGTTCAAATGGGAGTTTTCACTACACAAGTAGAACAAGAAATTCCTGTATACATTTTCCAAAATGTGTTGACTTGCCTCTGCTAACACAGACACAAAGAGTATGTACAATTTATTTTCCAAGCCTGATTTTCTCTTTGAGGAGATAAAATGGACTGCTCCTCACAAAACTTATTAGAATTAGTGAATTCCTAGGAAACAGACACAAAAAATAGCAGTGAGATCTGGTTTAGAACAGACCAAAACTTAGCCCTAATTAAAAAAAAAATAATGGAAAAAGAAAGAAATTCAACATCTAAGTTCCATTAGTTGCATCTAATGGAATTAATTGTGAATAAAATGCAGTGACAAAATCAGACTTTGTATTAAATATTTTGATAGTCATATAAAAAGATAGCTGTGATACAAAGTAAGCATGAATAAGTAGAGATTTGTTTATATGCAATTATCTTTCTTTGTTGTTTTCTTTTTTCCCAAAGGACATTTTGCGTTTCTAATGAGTGGCTATTTCCCACTTGCTGTCACCAAAACACCCCGAGAACATTGACTCCATCCCCTAATAGCTTTGAACTATTGCCTCATTTTGGAGCTGAGAAAGTTTAGAGACTTACTGAAAACAACAGAGGAAGCTCATATAGAGCTGTGATCCAAATTCAAGAGCTCCCAGCTCTGTGATGTGCTCAAGCCAGTCTGTCATATTGATTTATTTTTTAGGTTTGCAGGGTTTCAGAAATTTATATTTGCTTTCCAAATGCACAGTTTGGGTAAACATCCCCTGTGTTGATTTGTAGTAGCTACAAGAAAGTTGAACTTGACCTATTGTTCCAACCAAATACTAAAATAAGCAAGATGCAATGCCCCAGCAGAAATACACACAAATTTTCTTCTAACAATACTCAGATTAGTAAGGACATCATGGGTATTGTGGCAAATCTGTGTACATCAATTAAAACTATCTAGTGAAATGAAATTATCAAGAAGCAGATCTAAAAGACCTACAAACAAAGAGCTTGAGCACAAGCTCAAATGAAAATTAAGAGTATGCAATTAGCATTTTTTTCCCTAAATAACTACTAATCCTTTGCTCGCACGCTGTTTCCGTGACCGCTGTTTTCGCGTGCTTCGCTGGCACGGCACAAACTCATCATCAATCGGCCAACAGCAGGTTCCCCAGGAGCAGGGAGCCCGTGTGGCTGCTGGGGGCAGTGGAGGAGGGCAGGCAGGGCAGGGTGCAGCAGGTACCTACTTTCTGCAGGGATGGCACTCCCGGCGTCCTGGCCAGCGCCCACCAGCCTGGCGCTGAGCAGGCCGAGCACCGACAGCAGCAGCACTCCCACCCGCGCCTCGCTCCTCGCGGCCGGCAGCGCCATGCCTCTCATCAATAATTCAAGCCGTCTTCCCTGCCTGCAACGAGGAGAAGCAGTGAGAAAGCAGCAGTTTGCTCCCTGCAGGCTGCTCACAAAGAAGTGGGTGAGATGTGAGGAGCCCAGGCCCCGTGCACGCACAAACCCACTCGCCCACGCCACTGCCGGTCACGCCGTGGGCCCAGGGTGCACCCCAAGGACCAGCTTGCCCAGTACCTGATCCTTCTCCTCTCCTGTGTGCCAGACCCTTGGAGCAGCTGTAGAGAGAGGCAAGGCTCCAGCAGCCACTCCGAGCATGCGCCCCTTCAGCATCCCCCCTTCCCTGATTGGGGTCATTGCCATGGAGATTTGCTATAGCAACACTGAAAAATTGGAGCTGCCAAGTGGAGAAGAAGATTTAAAGGGACCACAATGTGATGGGTGGTCACTGCTGCACTCCTCTGCTCCCAAAGGCCATGCCCTCTCCTTGGCAGACACTGGCTGCTGCCACCCACATAAGAGAGTCTTGGGCAATTTTTGTGTTTGTTGCTGTTATTCCCGAAGGGACTGTGCTGAAATACACAGCTCCCATCCCCTGCTTTAGCTGTAACTCACTTAAAGTGAGAGTTCATTCTGCTAGGCATCAAATGAGAGAAAAATTCAGAAGTTTGCTTGACTAAATGAAGTTGCAGGGCCTGCTGATGGTGCCCTGTACTTTGGGGGAAGAATCCATTATGGTCTTTGTTTAACTACACTTGAAATGAGGCCTTGTGGACTACAGCACCCCTGGCACCTGGACCAACCACAAAAATGGATCCTACATAGCATCACCTTTGGGTACCATGATAAGAGCCCAGCCAAAACCTACACACTGCAAAAGTTGAAGGATGTTCTCTTCAAGCACAACTTTTGGTCTGGGATCAGCCCTTATTTATTTATTTGCTTATTTATTTATTTCTTGTGTCCTGACAAAGTTAAAGCAGGAAGTTTCCTGGACAGGGAATCTGTGTAAGCACCTGCCTGGAAGCAAGCATTCAGACAGGGGAGGTGATACTTTTGGAAAAGAGAAAGAGATGCTCTAACACCTACCTGCTTGCCCCAGAGCGTGATTAAAGGCTCATTTTGTAACATAACTGTTCAATTAATGGCTTTGTTCTTCTCACAGAAGGACACTCCATCTCCTCTCACCAAGGAGAGGCTCCAGCCTTCCTGGCCTGTACAGAATAACCACCCTGCCAGGCTGTGGAGGTATCAGTCTTCCCAGACATAAACCTAGTTTATCCTAGATTTTCTTCAGCCGTAGAAACTTTCACCAGCACTGCTCTCTGCTTCTATTTCACTTGTTCCTGTGGCTTCTTCAGAATTACCTCTTACAGCCCTCCCTTCAATGCTTGTGCTTTTGGATTAGGTTAGTTTAAAAGTCCTCTCACAGGACCTTCTGGCAAAGTGGACATGCCTCTCCTGCAAGGGGGAATCCCAGAGTTATGGAAGCAATTCCTACAAGAATGACACACTGCCAAATTTTTAGCCCACAGTGCAACTGAAACTCAAATTCCCTTGTGTGGAAGGTCCAGCAGAAGGTCCCAGCCACTGGGATCTGGGTTAGTCTGGGCACACATCTGCACCAAAATGTCTCCACTGGCTTTGTGAGAAGCTGAGACTCCTAATCCAAGCTCTGATGCTGGATGCCTGAAGTAAGGTTGTGTGAGATGGATCAGCTTTACATTGTTTGTCTCATCCCAGCCCTCCCAGGCCTGTTAAAGGAGCAGCTCCACAAGAGCCAGGATAGAAACAACATTATAGAGCTTGACTGTACTCTCATCATGGGCTGGCCACACTGTCTAGCCATGATCTTCAGTTTTAAATAACATCAAATGGGAATTCTGGCACAAAATCCAAAATCCTCACACTTTCATTCATCCTGGCATATGAGTTTCTTGCCCATACTCTCATTATGGTCCCATAGTTATAACTCACTTTTCATACATGAATTTCAAGAAAGGGACAGGAAGGAATTACCTACAGGAATTACCTTTGATGAGGTAGAAAGCACTATTTGTTCTAATATTTTTTTAAGGTATCAATGTATTCTTTTCTGAAGTTCTATCTACTGTGATATCTGCAGTAGGGCATTCTGTATCCACCACCAAAATGGGTACAAGGTGTTATTTCAGTGTTGCTTATACTACTAAGCCTAAAATTATGTAAATTTTTCCCCCCTCTTTTCAGTGCTAGCATAAATTAACCAGACATCACATTTACGGAGTCTGGCCAGTTTTTGTGTCAAATGCCAGGGTCTTTAAGAAACTTGGAAAAAGTTTCCAGCTCCTCCTGCTACCAGAACCATGTGGTCCAAGACGTGGCCCTTAATTCACAGAGAACAGGAGCCAGTCTGCATGGAAAAAATCCAGAAATCTGTGCTATTTTCTCACCTCCAACAAAGCTGAAGAGGAGAGACACATGAAAATATTTGCATGACTTGCTTAGCTATTACATTCACTATTGGGTATCACTATACTGGTACCAAATTAACTTTGGAAGACAAGAAAATTCCAAGATATTCACAGAAGTCTATTTAGTGTCTGAAAAATATCATAGTGAATCCCAGAGGGCCGTCAGAAATATTTCTACTTAATTTTCTTTTTCTACAGAGAATACACACCTAATAATTGTTTGCTAAAAGAGAAAAAGAATTTCCTCCAAAGCAATCAGAATGATCAGGCATTTAAGGGGAAGATGAATAGTGAAGATAGACATCTGGTGGCTTCCTTGGAAAATTTCTTATTTATTCCTAAGTGTTACAGGTATTGAAAGTTATATCCTTGAAGTGGGGGAAGAAAATTTATATATCCAGTTAAAATTACCTACATTAAAGGCCTGAATTGAACATGTGTGCATAAATGGAAGATGCAGGCAAAGGTTCTGGTCTCAGAACTAACTCCATGGGCACACATGGCAAACAGGGCAGTTAATCCCAGCCTAATACAAAATGTTACATCATTGCCCACTCACATGGTCATTGGCCCTTTGTTGGACTCAAATAGAAGAAAAAGCCACAGGCACAGAAGAATCTGTGTCTGGTCACCATTACCTGAAGGACAGAAGGGCAGGAGAATAACCCCAGGCATAAGCCCAGAGAGGCCAAGACACAAAACCAGACAAAAGCAGTACAAAACATGAAGAACAGCAAGAAAGCATCCTTTAAACACAAGGGGAGTCAAATAAGGAAGACAAAACCCAAGGGAAGAGTTTATTCTCTGTTCAGCAGAAGGGGAAAGTTAATTAAGTTGATGCTTTGAAAAGTGGTACAGAACTAAACATCTCTTTTATCCACGAATGAAAACAAGGCAAGCTAGTGAGCAGAAGGCTCTCACAACTAATACCAGTGAACATGTTTTAGATAAAAACATTTAGCAGAAGTTTACTTTGGTTACTGATGCTTATAGGTTTGTGATAGTCCTTTTCCTATGTTTTGATGTGCCTGGAGCTCTCTTTTGACTCAGGGCTATCACTAGACCCACTACAGGAGGTTGAAAGAAGAACCTAGAACAACCACCATGGGCAATTACTGCTGAGAGCTCAGGGAAGATGTGACTTATGCCAGTCTTGGAAAAGGGCAAGTGCAGTGGCTCTGTTTAAAATGAGGAAGAGAACTAGAAAAAAAAAAAAAAACAACACAAGCCAATTTACCATCCATCCCTGAGAATGTTTTAGAAGCAATAATCCCACCAGCATTTTGTAACTGTTTGAAAAACAAGAATGGAATTGCAAATAAGAGTTATTTGTCAAGAATCAAGTCAAACTAGTTTGGCATCCTTCTGTGACAGGGCAACAGGCCTTGCAGATAAGGAAAGCCAAACTGGATCAATTTCGGGGCTGTGTCACACAGCACTGTCAGAGGCAAACTCAGGAAACCTCTGAGGCCAGCAAAACTGGCTGGGTCACTGCTGGGAGTTAGCAGTGGGTCACTGTCCCCTTGGGAAGATGCATCACATCAGGACTGCAAAGACTCAGTTCAGGGGTTATTCAGCATTTCATTATGAATAAGTAAAATGGTTATTTAGGATGTAACATCAGCCTGGAGGTTATAAGCAATGCTGGGGAGAGGACTAAAATTCTAAACCAGGCAGACAAGAGAGAAAAAAGGATCTAAAAACCAAATGAACTTTTATAAAAATGAGAACAAGGTGCTACACTTCATCAGGATTAATCAACAGCTCATATCTGGAATGGGGAATGGCCCATTAAGTGGCACTTCTATGGTGAAGCTAGGGAGTCACAAGCTGAAATTGGTTTATAATATTCTCTCCCCCCAAAAATACAATTATACTGGAACGTAAAAAAAGAAGTGCAAGAGCTTAGGCTGACTTCAGCACAAGGCCTGAGCTGCAGTGCTGTGTCTGGTTTGGTCACTGCAGTACTAGGAGCTGTCAGAGACACCAGCAGCAGCAGAAATAACCACTTTTAAATGGCAGCCAGGAAGCACAACCAAAGCCCCTGGAAAACTTCATAATAATGAGGATGGCTCTGGGATGGATTTCCTGCAGAAGACAGGGGAATATTTAAGCCTGCAGGTATAAGTTAGACATCATTTGGGAATGGCATTGGGATAGTGGCCTTGCATAAAGACAAGGGAAGAACTGAGCAATTTCTTATTGATACCTTTCCCTGTCCCTTCTCTTCTAATTCTGTGATTAAGAATAATTTTGTTGCCCAGGCAGTCACTCCAGCTCTCTCTGTTGTAATTCCAGCACAAACACAGATATCCCTGGAAGAAATTCATTGCCCTTGTGCAGCATCTGAAATTCAGACTAATTATTTCTCCTCCCTCAGCTATCAGGGCAAAGGAAATGTTTTTTCTCATTTAAACAAGCACGATGTCAGAACATTCCCATTCTGGGGTGGGTCACTGATAAGGCAATTCAGAGACATTTGGCTGCAGGGCAGCTGGCAGGGCCCACAGTTTCTTCATCTGCCTTTAAACAAGTAAACCACAACCTTGCCAATGAATTGAGAGCTGAGAAGCTGGTGCACTATTTGACATTTTAGCCCATAAACAGAATAAATTCTATTCTCTTTTTTTATGACAGCCATCTCAATCCTGAGGAAGGACTGAAAATAAAATCACCTTATACTTACCTTGTCCCTCATGCTATGAGATAATGATTCACCTTTGCTTGATGGCTCAGGATTTTCTTTAAACACTAAGTCAGAGGTTTGGCAAAGGGAAAAATCTCCCTCGTGAAATGACCAATTTGTTCTTGGCATCATTGCTTGACAAGTTCCCTATCTTAGAGCTTCCTGGAAAACCCTTCAAGAGTCTGACCACAAGCTGAACCTTGGTCAGACTGTGAAGCTATTAATGCACACAG